TACTACTACTACTCTCTCTCTCTCTCTCTCTCTCTCTACTCTCTCTCTCTCTCTCTCTCTCTCTCTCTCTCTCTCTCTCTCTCTCTCTCTCTATTTAGTCCTCTCAATAATTTGACAGATGTAAGATTTATAGAGATACGAATTAATTGAATAAAAGAGAGAAATGGCGAAATTAGACAAGTCGTTGAAATTTATTTATATGAATGTTTATAGATCAGTAATATCATCCGAGCAGATATTGCGTCACTCAGACTTTGTCTGCGCCCGATAGCTTCGATATCGGATTTGTGTCACGTTAAAACTCCGTCGAAAATTCACAGCACGTATTCTCGTCAATTAATAGTTACTTGACGGCGCGACACAGAACTGCACTTTCTAGACGTTTATATTGAAGCCGTAACTTCAACAGATTCCCGAAGAGAGTATCAAAGCTTTAATCAAGTAAAGATCTCGGTAGCTCGTAATATTATTCATGCGCAATAAATTTAATACTGTTGCTCGAGTTGCTCAAATATAAAATCGAGTAATCTGTTTACGAGTACAAGCAGAGAAGAAAAAAAAAAAAAAAAAAAAAGAAGGACTGTCTCCTGAGCTGATGAATAAAATATTAAACGAGATTACGAAAAATTAGATGCGAAATATATAAATACACGACAAACGGTGGAGTTAGTCAATTTGTCATTTTGCTTATTACCGAGGCGCATCCGGGAAAGAAAACGGCTCCGCCCAAGATAGATATATAAGCTAAATATTGTACTTTTCACGGATAGGAGGGGAGGAGGAAAGGAAGAGAAAGAGATGCGGAGAAAGAATAAATTAAGCCAGTTCTAGCGAGTGCTCTTTTCCGAGAAAGATGAAAAAGTTAAAACTTCAACCATCCTGCGCCGCGTAGTCGCCGGCGCAGTCATACAGTGTTTAGGCAACTTTACGTCCAAGCACTTCAAAGAGGCAGCGTCAGCCAGAAATTACCGCGTAAATTTCTCAGATAGAAGCGCCATGTATACGCGAGTGTGTACGGCGAGTGTCGCATACATATTCGCATGTGTACGTGGCTTGCGTGATAGATACTGGATACAAGATATAATATATGGGATACCCGTCGACTCGCCTGGAGAATTACGATATTGTAACCAAGTATCATGCATAAAATCTACGGCTCGTATTGCTCTACGGCTAGAGAAACAGCGAGGGAGAAAGAGAGAGAGAGAAAGAAACACGTCGACCAGAAACTCTTGATTGCATGCAAAGCTTAGTGACTATTTATATCGAAGAGCGAGCACGTGGAAAACTTAATCATAAAACCGACAAAAACTGGTCTATCAACGGATCTTCACGAAATTAATAAAATTCTGTTTTCGATTAAAAAATGTAGTAATTTTTTTCAAATTGAATAAAATACATATCAATTTTTTTTTAACGAGCCGCGTGAGATAATAAGAGCATTTTTCTCCAACATTTATTCATCTCATCTCTTTTTTTACTGCCCTGATCAATAACGCTCCCGGGGGAGTCCCTCGGAAAATTCTAATCCTGCGAAATCACCTAAAAATTATCATTAGTCCCCTGGAACGTACCC